GACATCCGTAACATTTATGCCAATATTTTAGTTTATTTTCACTATTCATAAAGCTTTGCAGTCTAATTCATGACAATTGATAACTTTTAAAAGTTTTTATGCTCTTGCCCAAAAGACTGTTACAAACAATTTTACTTACAATTTAAATAAGGCTTACTAAAATGAGCGAGCCTCTCAAGGAAACTTGAATCCATTTGTGAACTTCAAATGGAGCTAAATCATCATCCAAACTTTGAATAAGAAAAATTTAAGAATAGTAAAACTGTTGGACTTTGGGGAGGGAGATGTGGCTCGGAAATCTATCCTGCCATTTCCATTTAATTACCATCAGACTTTATCACTACTAATGCACTTTTCGACAGGCTGAGGCAGTTTTGTTGTCGACTCAATGTAATTGTTGTGATTCGGTCTAAGTGGCTCAGAGTTCCAAGTGGCAGGAGCAGATCTTGAATGGCACATTAACAAGAGTGCCTTAATCAAATTCTTCTGTTGAAAACAACATACGCAGCCCATTAAGTCATTGTCATGTCCCTCAGCCTCTCAGTGTTTGCTGTTTAATTGGCTTATTGGAGCCAGGATTCAAACTAAACTAGAAAGGGGATACAATTACTTTTATCCTGGTCTTCTATTACCCAAAATAAAGACGTCAGTGGTTAATTACCGAAGGCCTATTAGAGATGCATTCTCCTAATTGCCTGATTGAACCATTAATGATAGAATCTTCAGATGGAGGCAGGAGTTTGATTCTGCTCATTAGACTGTTTCTTGAGCACTGAAGGGGAACTGAGTTGGGATGAGATCATAGTAAAAAAATAAATAAATAAAACAAGTACTGTGATATGTAGGGTTTGACAAAAAATATCATGTAGAAGGACTCACCAGGATTTTATAAACATTTTCATTTTGATTTTAAGGAATTGGTACAGTACTCCACTGGCAGACCCTCACTTTATGTTTGGATCTGTCAGGTAGGACTGCCATCCTCCCCCACCATCGGAGCCAACTCACTACCAGGTAGTGGTCAGTTGACAGCTCCGCCCCTCTTTTCAGCCAAGTGTCTAAGACATGCAGCCGCAGATCAGATGAGACGACAACAAAATCAATCATTGAACTGCGGCACCCTTATGTTTGAACATAGTGTTTGTTATGGACAATCCATGATGAGCACAGAAGTCCAATAACAAAACACCGCTCGGGTTCAGATCGGGGCGTCCATTCCTCCCAATCACACCCCTTCAAGTCTCACTGTCATTGCCCATGTGAGTATTGAAGTCTCCCATTTGGCGCACTCTCCAGGACCCCCTCCAATGACTCCAAAAAAGGTGGGTAATCTGAACTGCTGTTGGGCGCGTAGGCACAAACAGTCAGAACCCATCCCCCCACATGTAGGCGGAAGGAGGCACTCTTGTTCACCGGGGTGAACACCAACATACAGGCACCGAGATGGGAGTAATAAGTATGCCCACTCCTGCTCTGCACCTCTCAGCATGGGCAACTCCAGAGTGGAAGAGTGTCACACCCCTCTCAAGGAGACTGGTTCCAGAGCCAGAGAGGTGCGTCGAGGTGAGTCCAACTATATCTAGTCGGAACCTCTCAACCTCACACACCAGCTCAGGCTCCTTCCCCACCAGGGAGGAGACGTTCCACGTCCCTAGAGCCAGGGACATACTTTTATATATATATATATATATAAATATAAATTTATGGCAGGTCAAACTTCAGTGAGTTAAGCAGTGACAGGGCTTTTCTCAATAATTAATATCTGTAAAATCTAACTAACTGTAATTAAAAAGAAATAAATTATTAGTAGACCTGTGTGRCTTCATTTGGATTTTAGTAAAATCTTTCAGAAAATAATCATTAYGTTTTCACTGCTTAGCTTGTATAATTGATCAAGTTCAAGATGGCTGTCACAGCTCATCGATATTACGTAGCTAACATAAAAAATGTGTATAACTCAGTTTTTTATGGCAGGTAGATTTTAAGCTGTGGTAGTAGCTGAGGGTTGTATACAACATATTCTACAAGGGCCAACACAAATCAATAATCAATTTAATTTGAAGTTATAAGGCAATAAAATAGAAATATTAACAAACCAGTTTSTTTTTTGTGTAATGTGTTTGGTTGGCAAAATGTTGGACAAAGTTCTGCTGTATATATTCAATGCTGGTGTTGGTGCAAAACAAACTGACAGAAAATAAATCTTTGAAATACATGAAATAGGGTTTTTGCTTATAAATGAAAACATCTTTATTCCCTTTATGCACTTAATAACACCATCACCTAGAAAGGCATTTCTACAGCAACTTTGTGACCTTCTATTAAAAAGTTTGACAGTTCGAAAGACAAACTGCATATTTAATGCTCAGCATGAACGATGACAGCTATTTCCGTCTGCTAGTTATCAAACCACTCTGATGGAGAGATCAGAGAGCGTCATTATCTTCAGCAGCTCAACTTTCTAACTCCATAAGCAATCTCTTTATAAACCTGCAGCAAGTTTGTTTGTCAGGAGCCACGAGAAAGTTGCAATCCATGGTTTGTGTTTTTCCCCCCTCCTTTTAGTAGTGTTTGTTGTTCATCAGCACATCACTGTCAGCAGGCTGACAGTTCGACAGAGTGCTAAAGAGACACACAGGGAAAAGTAGGTCATGATGAGCTATCAGAGGTGCTGACAGCTCTGTGAATTTAGCAGCTACTTTGACACGAATACTAATCACTGCTGTCACTGTTAAAAAAATCCTCATCTTGAACCACATAATGCAACTTTCCAGCTTGACGGCTAGGAAATGCCAACAGCTAGGGTACCGTTAGGAACAATCTCCATGATGACTTCCTGAAAAAAAAAAATCATCCAGCAGATCTCCTGAACTGATCAAAAATCTGGCAGGGAAAAAAAAAAACAGGTACATATATTTTATTGTTAACATTTAAACAAATTCATTGATGAAGATGGAATAAAAATGTACTGGAAGATTCTTTATAGATACTATAATACTTACATTTAGATTAAATATGTAGCCAACATGCATAAAATACGTAGTCATAACAATTTTTTCATACGTTGACATAAGTTGTCTAAAATGTTATGGTGTGACAGGACCTTTAGAACTAGATACTGGATAATCTTGAAAAGTCTAATTAGTTCATGKAGAAAAACAGTTGCACAAAAAACAAAAAAAGTATGTAATAAAACGAGCSATCCTTGCATTCAAACAAAAAAAATTAAATGATGTGTTAATGTTTGGAAAATGTGTTTGGGTTAAGCCTAAGCTTCTACTACAACAAATTTAAGCAGTGYAATTGAGTTATAACCATTTTTGCACTTACTAAGTTTAAATAGCTATGATGACCTTTTTGAATCAAGTCAATTCCAAAGGTTCAGAATTTTCATGTATACAGGCATCAACAATAGTCTGCCTTTTAAAAAGGTGAGCAAAAAATGTTGAATGAAAAGTTGGTGCATGAATATTGTTACATCTTTAAAATGAGAAGAAAAAAAGTCAGGAAGAAAAACATCTTCAAACTATTACGGTCCTGATAACAATGTTCTACATGTGCAGCAATCACATCAAAGTTAGTCCCAGTTTAATGTGTTTACAGATGCAAGGTCAGGTTTTGACCACATGCTCCATGATTCGTTTTGGGACAATATTTGCTTTATGCACTTATAGATTACACCCGGACAGATGCAGAGAAACAAGACAAACAACCATCCATTGCATACATTCACACAAAACGTCAATTCACAGTCTTCAATTACATTTTACATAATAACTTGTATGTTTTGGGGTTCTGGGAGGAAACAGAATACTTGGAGAAAATCATGCATACACAAAGAGAACATYGWAACTCCACWCAGAAAGRCCTTAGAAAAGGTTTGYAACTCAAGATGTCCTGATTGTGAGACTTTAATAACAGATATACCACCATGTAGCCCCGTCTTTATCCTTCTATTTGATGTCCACAGAAACAATCTTGACCCTGAGCCTAGAGACCTAAAACAAATTGTTTTGCACTAAAGATACCTAAAAAATATTTTGTTAAATAAAGGCTTTATTTCAGACATTGTATGACAAAAAATCACATAGACTTGTGATACAGTCTGATAAACATYGAATAATTGCAGTTGATGCCATTGTGCAAACTTCTTTCACCGATATAAACACAGAACAAAAGACCCTGATACAACTCATTAAGTTTGAAGGGAGAAGTTTGACAGGTTGTCCAAAACCACTGCTCTGGGGGCCAAAATCTGCAAAAATGTGCTATTTCTGTCTCAAAACCAACTTCTGACTGTAARGCATTTTAGCAAACATTTTGACCATAACTTTCAGATTTTTTTTATTTTATTTTTTTACCTGAATAAAACCACTTTTTATGGATTGTTTTGGGACATCTGAAATACTTTTAAATATCTGTGCCTCTTTCTTATGAAAACCTTGGTTTTCAGAAATATATGTATTTCAGAACTAAAGGGACATGAAATCTTGTAGATGTTTAAACACAATCAAAGTTGCCTAAAATGCCTGTTGAAGACACTTAAAAAATAAAAAAAAATAATGGTGCAATTGCATACCTGGTAACTCATGTAAGCTTGTTGTACAATATAAACAAATCTTTTTTTACTTTCTCAGGTCCAGAGGGTCTTGGTTTCAGCATCACGTCTAGAGACGTCCCTATTGGTGGAAGTGCTCCCATTTTCATCAAAAACATCCTTCCTCGAGGGGCCGCCATCCAAGATGGTCGACTGAAAGCTGGAGACCAACTTCTAGAGGTGGAGCAGGGGCCTTCGAACAACCTCAAACCACCAAACCTTTTGTAGTGTTCAGCAAGTGTGTTCATGGAGGTCGTCAGATGTTTCAGAGACTAATTACTTCTTAGCTGACGTGGCTTTTGTTTTTTCAAATTCTGTCATTCAGTGCTTTTGTTAGAACAAGAAAAACACTTCACATTTGCTACAGCTGGTAACAATTTAACAGCAGCTTTGAGTTTCCATTGAAATGTCATTAGTTGAAACAATATTTTGATTCTTTCAGTCAGACTGAAATGAAAATCAGCTTGAGCTCATTTTAGAGAGCATGAACCCTCGTTTATTTCCAGCTTCAGATGACTGGGGCTGTAATCTGCAAACGCTTGGGTAGAGGACACATTTTACATATACATCCTGCATGCATATCCTATTTYTAATTGTGCGTTTGTGTATTTGTGTGCATCTATGTGTGCAGGTAAGTGGAGTGGACCTGAGTGGAAAGAGCCAAGAAGAGGTGGTGGCCCTGCTTCGAGCTGCACCCATGGGGGGGCTTGTGAACCTGTTGGTGCTTCGTCCAGAGGACTCCGCGCTGCCCCGAGAAGTGGTCAGTACTGGGCTAAAACATTGTTTTTATTCCCATTTTCTTCACTGCACCTTTCGCATTTAGTCACTTTTTAAATTCGATGACAAACTTGCAATGATGTGAAAGAAAATCAGTCAGCTTCTGGATGCTCTGTGACAGTCAGGGCTTTTCAGCTAAACTGATAAGAGGGTCACAGTTGTTGAAAGCCAGCATCTCAGAGGCCGATATCTTAATGACAATTATTGTATTTTATGTAAATTTCATTTAAGATTTAAAATCTAGTTTTATCATAAATGAATTCGCCGGTGGGCCAGATGGTGTATGGTCATAGTGGGTGAGTAGGATGGTAATGGGCTTCTTATTGTGCATGATAAGCTGTGAAAGATGCACAAAACTTATCAATGTGGAGACAGAAAACAGCCTTCTGTTTTGTTCTGGGCTCTTGTAACGTTAGTTGCAGTATGTTTATTTCTTTGCTAATAGATTGGTACAAACAAAACTAATTTACAGTGGGTACAGAAAGTATTCAGACCCCTTTAAATTTTTCACTTTTTGTTTCATTGCAGCCATTAGCCAAAATCGAAAATGTTTATTTTATTTCTCATTAATGTACACTCAGCACCCCATCTTGACAGAAAAAAAATAATAAATAAAAACCCGAAATGTAGAAATGTTGCAAATTTATTAAAAAAACTGAAATATCACATTGTCGTACTGTATATATTCAGACCCTTTGCTAAGACAAGCATATTTAAGTCACATTATTTATAACCTTTATTTAACCAGGAAGTCCCATTGAGATTAAAAACCTCTTTTTCAAGAGAGACACATGCTGTTCATTTCCTTCTAGTCCTCCTTGAAATGGTTCTACTCCTTCATTGGAGTCCAGCTGCGTTTAATTAAACTGATTGGACTTGATTAGGAAAGACACACACCTGAGATATTTTTGTTTCTAAGTTAGGACATGAAAGGGTTAATTATTTTTAAAAAACACCTTGGCATGCATGTAAAACACCATCTAAACTTTTAATTTTATGTGACAGATCGTATTTTAACCCTCCCATATCCTTGCGCAAAGGACATGAATCCTGTGAATTTCCAACTGTCCCTGCTCACTGGAGCGTGAAGCGTTAACTAAGATTTTGGTGTCATTCGAAGCAGAATGATCCCCTCTACCAAAAGTTATGRCCACATTTTCAAAATCATATTCTTTGTTACTTTTATGGCGATTTTTCTGAGAGTATCATTTTTTCTGATACACCCTTCATGAGACTGACCGAAACCCAACTGATCATCTCTGGAGAGACCTGAAAATGGGTGTCCACCAACATTCACCATCTAACCTGAGGATCTGCAAGGAAGAATGGCAGATGCTGCTCAAATCCAGGTGTGAAAAACATGTTGCATCATTCCCAAGAAGACTCATGGCTGCACTAGCTCAAAAGGCTGCTTCTACTT